TTTCAGGGATCTTGTTTTATATTTAGAGTTAAAAAAATGATAACTGTATTAGCAAGAAGAGACTGAAGTTAGTGTTTGTACACTAAATCAATCTCTTTACCTGTGTTTGTGACGAGTCTATATGCTCTTCTGATTTTTTTTTTCTTTTATACCTCAAGGATTGGTAACTTTAGGGATGTATTTAGAATTGATCTGACAACTGAGTTAATTGAAATGTTAAAAAGACCTCTGTTTTTAATGGGAAAAAGAAATCTTTCAAGAGGAGCTATTCTTCTTAAAAGAGAGATCACAAAAGAAGTGAGACATATGATGGTGGCCATTAGAGAGAAGGATGAATGCCAGTTTGTGAAGTGCTGCTTCAGCTGTCCCAGGAGACTAGCTGCCAAGCACACTCAAGGAGGAAATACAAAATCAGACATCTGTATGTGTGCGGCATCCACCATGTTTGCTCTGAGGAGAGAGAACCATATGAAGCAAGACAGCAAAGGTGAAATCCAACAAGATAGCCTACTTTATTGCCATGGCAACTCAACCCTGATGAAAGTAGAAAAACAATAAAATATCTGTGAAAAAAAAATCTGTTCTATGAATACCTACTGATTTGAGGAAAGATGCACCCCTGGAAAGAGCTTGATATTTGGTAATTTCTTATAACAAAGCCAGGGGTGCTACTTTTGGGAAATGCTGGTTTAAAAAGCAACACATTTACTAAATTATTTAGTTATTATTTACTTAAATTATTTAGTTTATCTTGGTTGCTAAATTTAGATTTATATGTGAAATCTGTAGTTTCATATAAAAATATTAAGTGACATTGCAGAGGTTCAGGTATTAACCTTGTCATTCTCTTTGATGCCTTTTGTCAATTTTTTTTTTTTTTGCAATCGTACCTTACATAAATTGTGTGTTTGATAAGTAAGAGGAGTTCTATGAAATATTTCTATTAAGTTAAATTAAAGCTACATTTTATTGGCCTAGAATAGATTCGCAAATTTCAACATTATTTTTAAAAAATGCTCTTTCTTCAACCTGCTGTTTACATGGTTCATTATAAAGGAAAAAATGTTTCTTTTTAATCTTATGAATTTGTTGAACTATCACAGCTTTCTAAATCTTCCTAGAGTTTAGGCAATTCTGAGCTGTTGCTGTGATTGTTTTTATTCAAATAAGACCTTCTGGTTTGTAGGAAATGTCTGGGAAAGCTTGTTTTTCTTTTAAAAATTTTTTTCTTTGAAGTAATTTACAGACAACAAAATCAATTGTAAGAAAGTGAGCTTTGACAAATATAGGCATACATACAGTTATTTTCACAATTACTTTCTTTGCATTATTATTACATTTAATTTAGGAATTAAAGTATGCATCTCTGGCTTTTCACACTATTTTATTTATGCTGACTTGCATTTGGTAAAATATAGAAATGATACAGCATATCCTGTAACCTTTACGTTAGCATTGATACATGAAAAGATACACACACACATAAATTACATTTATATGTTATAAACTCAGCAATGAGGTGTTATATTTTTTATTCAAAAAATATAGATTTTTAAAAGGAATTAAGAATATTATAATACAAACCTTTTATTATCTTGCATTTATTTACATTGTGTTAGTATCCCTATTGCTCTTCCTCTTTTCTGTGGGTTTGAATTACAACTGGATACACTTTTCTTTCAAACTGAAAGAATTCTTTTTGAACTTTTTTTTTTTTTTTGGTATGGGGATTGAACTAAGCGGCACTGGACCACTGAGCTACATCCCCCAGCCCTGTTTTGTATTTTATTTAAAGACAGGGTCTCACTGAGTTGCTTAGTGGTTCTCTTTTGCTAAGGCTGCTTTTCTTTCCCCCCTAACTTTTATTTATTTATTTAGTTATATATAGCAGCAGAATGCATTACAAATCTTATTACATATATAGAGCTCATTTTTTCATATCTCTGGTTGTATACATAGTATACTCATACAAATTTGTGTCTTCATATATGTACTTTGGAAAATAATGATCATCACATTCCACCATCATTAAGTACCCCATGCCACCTCCCTCTCCCTCCCACCCCTCTGCCCTATCTAGAGTTTGTCTATTCCTCACTTGCTCCCTCTCCCTATCCCATTATGAATCAGCTTCCTTATATCAAAGAAAACATTTGGCATTTGGTTTTTTGAGATTGGCTAACTTCACTTAGCATTAACTTCTCTAACTCCATCCACTTACCTGCAAATGCCATGATTTTATTCTCTTTTATTGCTGAGTAATATTCCATTTTGTATATTCCATCTAGGTTGATTCCACAGTTTAGCTATTGTGAATTGTGCTGCTATAAACATCGGTGTGGCTGTGTCCCTGTAGTATGCTGTTTTTAAGTCCTTTGGGTATAGATGGAGGAGAGGGATAGCTGGGTCAAATGGTGGTTCCATTCCCATTTTCCAAGAAACCACCATACTGCTTTCCATAGTGGCTGCACCAATTTGCAGGCCCACCAGCAGTGTATGAGTGTACCTCTTTCCCCACATCCTTGCCAACACTAATTGTTGTTTGTATGCATAATAGCTGCCATTCTGACTGGAGTAAGATGAAATCATAGAGTGGTTTTGATTTGCATTTCTCTAATTGCTAGTGATGATGAACATTTTTTCATATATTTGTTGATTGATTGTACATCATATTCTGAGAAGTATCTCTTCAGGTCCTTGGCCCATTATTGATTGGGTTATTTGGTTTTTTGGTGTCTAGCTTTTTGAATTCTTTATATATCCTATGATTAGTGCTCTATCTGATGTGTGAGGCGTAAAAACTTGCTACCAAGATGTAGTCTCCCTATTCACTTCACAGATTGTTTCTTTTGCTGAGAAGAAACTTAAAGTTTAAGTTCATCCCATTTATTGATTCTTGATTTTAATTCTTGTGCCACAGGAGTCTTATTAAGGAATTTGGGGCCTAATTCCACACGATGGAGATTAGAGCCTACTTTTTCTTCTGTTAGAAACAGGGTCTCTGGTTGTATTCCTAAGTCCTTGATCCATTTTGAGTTGAGTTTTGTGCATGGTGAGAGATAGGGGTTTACTTTTCATTTTGTTGCATATGGATTTCCAGTTTTCCCAGCACCACTTGTTGAAGAGGCTATCTTTTCTGCAATGCATGTTCTTGGCACCTTTGTCTAATATAAGATAATTGTAGTTTTGTGGGTTAGTCTCTGTGTCCTCTATTCTGAACCATTGGTCTACCAATCTGTGTTGGTGCCAATACCATGCTGCTTTTGTTACTATTTCTCTGTATTACAGTTGAAGGTCTGGTATAGTGATACCATCTGTTTCACTCTTCCTGATAAGGATTGCTTTAGCTATTGACAGACCTTTAGCCATGCTGAAGGAGAGAAGGAAAGAAAAAAACTCAAATTACTAACATAGGTGATGAAAAAGGAAATATCACAATGGACACTACGGAAATACAGAAGATAATTAGAAATTATTTTGAAAACCTGTACTCCAATAAAATAGAATATATTAAAGACATTGACAAATTTCAGTAGTCATATAATTTGCCCAAATTGAATCAGAATGATATACAAAATTTAAATAGATCAATTTCAAGTGATGAAATAATAGACACCATCAAAAGTCTACCAACCAAGAAAAGCCCAGGACCAAACAGATACACAGCCAAGTTCCACAAGAGTTTTAAATAAAAGTTAATACCAATACTTTCCAACTTATTTCAGGAAATAGAAAAAGAGGCAGCATTTCCAAACTCATTCTATGAGGCCAATATCACACATCAAAAAAAGAAAACTTCAAACCCAAATCTCTAATGAACAAAGATACAAAAATTCTCAATAAAATTCTGGCAAATAGAATACAAAAACATATCAAAAAGATCATGCACCATGATCAAGTGGGATTCATCCCAGGGATGCAAGTTTTGTTCAACATATAGAAATCAATAAATATAATTCACCACATCAATAGACTTAAAGATAAGAATCATATGATCATCTCAATAGACACAGGAAAAGAATTTGACAACATATAGCACCCCTTTGTGTTCAAAATACTGGAAAAACTAGGGATAACAGTAACATATCTCAACATCATAAAGGCTGTCTATGCTAAGCCCCAGGCCAACATCATTCTAAATGGAGAAAAACTGAAGGTATTCCCTCTATAAACTGGAACAAGACAGGGGAACCCTCTTTCACCACTTCTATTTAACATAGTTCTTGAAACACTGGCCAGAGCATTCACAGAGACGAAAGAAATTAAAGGAGTACACATAGTAAAAGAAGAACTCAAATTGGCACTATTTGCTAATGATATGATTCTATACCTGAACGTCCCTAAAATTTCCACCAAAAAACTTCTAGAACTAGTAAATGAATTCATCAAAGTATCAGGCTATAAAATCAACACCCATAAATCAAATGCATTTCTGTATATCAGTGACAAATTCTCAGAAAGGGAAATGAAGAAAACTATCCCATTCTCAATGGCCTCGAAAAAGAAAAAGAAAGAAAAAAGAAAAGAAAAAAACCTTGGGAATCAACTTAATGAAAAAGGTGAAAGATCTATATAATGAAAATTATAGAAACCTAAAGAAAAAAATCAAAGAAGACCTTAGAAGATGGAAAGATCTACCTTGCTCTTGGATAGGCAGAATTAATATTATCAAAATGATCATACTTCCAAAAGCACTATACAGATTTATTGCAATTCCGATCAAAATTCCAATGACATTCCTCCTAGAAATAGAAAAAGCAATCATGAAATTCATCTGAGGCTGGTTTTAAACTTGCAATCTTCCTGCTTTATCCTCCAGAGCTGCTGGGATTACAGGCTTGTGGCACCACACCAGGCTCTTTTTTAATTTCTTAGACTATACTTCTTAGCATTAAATTATTTCAATATTTTTAAATTAAAAAGCTTTTAACATTCATTCATCAAGAATTGTTTCAGTAGATCTTAAATTCTTATTTGGTAGCTATTTTATTCCTCCAGCAGGCAGGAACATAGTCCCTCCACTACCACAAATTATGCAGTAGAGTTTCCCGAATTTGAGGAAATCGCAGGGGTCAGCACTTCCAGAGTGCAATGGATAAGACTAGACCTAGGAAACCATCTTCATGATTGTGGTATCTCCCCTGCCAGGTAAGTATTGTTACTATTATTTCAATGTGTTTTTTACCTCTGTTGTTTCTAATGAGAAATTGGCCATTTATTGTATCATCATGAAGTACATGAAGCATATTTTGAACACTTCTCTCTGCTTTTGCCTTTCAATATAGTGATGTATCCAATTGTGGTTCTTTTGTGTTTATAATATTTGGTGTTCATTGAGGTTGTAGGATATGTAGGTTAATTTTACCACCAAATTCTGAGAGTTTGGGCCACTGTTACTTTAAATATTTTTCTAACTTACTTTTTTCCCCTGGAAATCTTAATCTCACATATTGAGATGTTTGCTAATGTGTCACAAAATCACCAAATATGGGGGGAGGGTGTCAATTACTTCTTTATCCGTTCTTTGAATTTTAAATTTTCTACTGCTTTATCTCTAAGCTTACTAATTCTTCCACTAACTCATACATTTCAAATCTACTAAACAGTAGAGACTTTAATTTTAGCTATTACAATTTTCAGTTCTAGAATTTAAATTTAAATTTTCCTCAAAAAAATTCCATTTCTCCATTGAGATTCCTTACGGGTTTGAGTCATATTATTTCTTTGGTTATTCGAATATGAATTCACTTAATTTTTTTGAAATTAAATGAATAATACATACATAATACATACTTTGACAACTGTAAATCTAACATACAGATCCACCTGAAGTCAATTGTGATTGACTGTTTCTAAATTTTTTTCCAGGTTATGGATCACATTCCTATTTATTTGTCTAGTTCATGAATAACAATTTGGCTGATAATTGTTGCATGATAGATAATATACTATAACCATTCTGGATTTGTTTGTTTTCTTCCAAGGAATGTTTCTTGTTTGTTTGTTTTAGTAGTCAATTATGTTACTTACAGTCATATTGTGAAATACTTCCCCACTGCAGTAGGTCAGTATTGACTTATTTTTTAGTGTAAGTTTCTTAGGATCCCCCCTGTGTTTGCATAGTTTAGGGATAAATCAATAATTCTAACAAGGATATGCTGACACTTCAAGCCAATATGATTCCCACATGCACCATCCCAGCTGTGTATGAGATGAGGACTATAGGTAAAGGTGTAGCAAAATCACATTTCTCTGGTCTTTCAGTTTTCACTGAGCACTCTGGAATCTGTTGAATATTCTTAACTTATCCATCAGCCAAGCATATTCAAAGAATATCTCTCATTTCTTCTCTGATTCTCTTGCTTTCAACTATTTCAATTGGGACTCAATTTAATAAAAGAGGTAAAAGACCTCTACAATTAAAACTATAGAACACTAAAGAAAGATATTGAAGAAGACCTTAGAAGATGGAAATATCTCCCATGCTCCTAAACAGGCAGAATTTATATTGTCAAAATGGCCATACTACCAAAGCACTATACAGATTCAATGCTATTCCAATTAAAATCCCAATGTCATTCCTTATAGGTATAGAAAAATCAATCATGAAACTCATTTGGAAAAATAAGAGACCCAGAATAGCCAAAGCAATCCTTAGCAAGAAGAGTGAAGCAGGAGGCATAATAACACCAGACTTTAAACTATACTACAAAGTTATATAGAAACAAAAATAGCATGATATTGGCACCAAAACAAACATGTAGACTGATGGTACATAATAAAAGACACAGAGACAAAGGCACATGAATACAGTTATCTCATACTAGACAAAGTCACCAAAACCATACATTGGAGAAAAGATAGCCTCTTCAACAAATGGTGCCGGGAAAACTGGAAATCCATATGCAACAAAATGAAACTAAACCCCTATCTCTCATCATACACAAAACTCATCTAAAGTGGATCAAAGACCTAGGAATTAAACCAGAGACCCTATGCCTAATAGATTAAAAAGTAGGCCCAAATCTTCATCATGTTAGATTAAGCCACAAATTCCTTAATAAGATTTCTAAAGCACAAGAAATAAAATCAAGAATCAATAAATGGGATGGGTTCAAACTAAAAAGCTTCTTCTCAGCAAAAGAAACAATCAATGAGGAATAAATTCGGGAGCAAATTTTTGCCATATGCATGCCAGATAGAGCACTAATCTCCAGTATATATAAAGAACTCAAAAAACTTAATACCAAGAAACCTAAACAACCCAATCAATAAATGGGCTAAGGAGCTGAACAGTCACTTCTCAGAAGGTGATATACAATTGATCAACAAATATAAGAAAAAATGTTCAACATCTCAAGCAATTAGAGAAATGCAAATCAAAACTGCTCTAAGATTTCATCTCAACTCTAATCAGAATGGTAGTTATCAAGAATACAAACAACAATAAGTGTTGGTGAGGATGTGGGGGAAAGGCACACTCATACATTGCTGGTGAGACTGAAATTGGTACAGCCAATCTGGAAAGCAATATGGAGATTGATTCCTTAGAAAACTTGAAATGGAACCACCATTTGACCCAGCTATCCCACTCATTGTCTATGCCCAAAGGGCTTAAAAAAGGTATGTTAAAACTTTTTTTAAAAACTTACTTTTGCAAACAACTATTCCATAATTTAAAACAAGACATTAATAAAAAATATCCAACTTACACAGCTCACACAGTATAAGGATATGGTTATATTTGCACAATGCAAGCATTAGAATTTTGAAGAGCTGTTAGTAACTAAAGATCCATGTGTATTAGGCTTCCATTTTTATTAATGAGGAAAACAGTAGTCATAACCTACTTTTATCTGTTGATTACTATCCTAACCTTAAGATATAGATCTTATCATTTGTTCCTCACACTAACCCTGTAGTGGGTGCCATGAGCAGATGAATCTATTTTGGAGGTTTTGAACACCAAATTTGCTTTCCTGTCACACATGGTTGAAGTTTTGATGAAGAATAACCTGTGTGCTGAATTAATTGTCTTTCTATACATTAGGGATAATTTAAGTTACTAATGAAATGTACCTAATTTTAATTTCAAAATGCCCTTAAATCTTTTTTTTAAATATACTTTTTTTACTATTTTTATTTTGTTGTTTGTTTATTTATATGTGGTGCTGAGGATCGAACTCAGCACCTCACATGTGTGAGGCAAATGCTCTGCCACTGTGCCACAACCCCAGCCTGCCCTTAAATCTTAAACTCTTTTTCTTATAATGTTGGTAACTTTAGAGTACTTGTCATTATTAAGAAAAGGAAAGTGCAGCGCCCTTAGAATCAGAACCACAATTACATAGTGATTGAGTGAAACAATGAAGCAGACTTTAGCAGGAAGCATGCAGTTTTAATATCTTCTACTTGGAAGGCATATGATTGTCTGACCTAAATCTCACAATAATGAAAGTTAACAATAAAGACAAATCAGAAACTACTAAGTTTTCTAGATTTTGTTTCCTACTTCTTACTTCATTTAATTTCTATGATTAAACCAATGGAAACTCTGGCTTTGACCTATCCACTTCCTTTTCTCCACTCTCTGACTTGAATCTTTCTCTGAAAGATTTGTCTAGATACATTTGTCTAGATCCCAACATTTTTTTTTCTGATTGTGGATACACTTAGTTTTTATTTTATTTATTTTTTAATTATTTATTTCTATTAAAGTTTTCCCTTAGGAGTCAAATTGATAGACCCAACCTGATCTTTTCTTAAAATTAGGCATCTCACCACAAAGCCATGAAAAGATAATTTTGGCTTTACTATAAATTACTGCAAATTCTGAGCCTTCTTGGAATGCCTGCCCGTGCCTTGAACTCACCCATGCCTGGCTCTCTGACCAGATATCAGACCTCTCTGAAACCATAGTGACGCCTCACAAATCTTGGCCTTCCCTGGCCAGACAACGACCCTCTCTGAGGCTCTAATGGGCCTCATAAATTCTGATGTTGGGGCCAGCAAAAAATGTAAACTACCATTAGTGTGATGCTTGTCAGAGTTCTGTTATCTGTAACCCCCCTTTGTGTAACTTTCTGGGCTATAAAGCTGGGCTGCAGGAAAGCTGGGGTGCTGTCTTGTTCCTGCCGTTTTGGGAGGGAGAGGCAGCCCGGCCGGTCGAAATAATAAGCTTGCTTTAATTTGATTTTAATTGGAGTCAGTGGTCTTTTCTTGCTTCCTGGTCTAACAAAATGAACAGAGAAGTTATTCATTTTTTTTTGGTTTCCACCTGGCTGAAAGCTCAGAAGACATAAAATCATTAAAGGAAAGATACTAAGAAAGTTAAATAAATCTTATTTTCTAATGAGAATTTAAAAAATTATCTCCTTGATTGACAGATGAACCAAATCTCTAATATACCCCTAACATCTATGAATTTATTAACATCTAACATGCACCCTGGTTTCTAATGTATATACCACTAGTCTCTGTTACTTTTTAATCCATTATTACCTAATATCCTAGGTATTCTATGATGTCTTGATCACAACTACTGTGTCTCTCCAGAGCTCACTATTTCTGAGAGTCTCAAACGTTTTAACTAAAGACCTAGGTCTGATGTACCATGCCTTTCTGTGTTGCTTTTGCATATTAGTTTTGGTGCTCATACATAGATACAGTTTTTGCTAGTATGTCCAATAGTTTCTTTCATGATGTCTTCTATATTTGAATCACTTTCTTCATCTGTCTGCCAGCAGTCAGTATTTAATGAAAATCATACTCTAGATTCGTTTTCTCTGAAATTATTTCTCCTACTGAGAAAGAGATCTGTCCCAGTTTTATGGTATCCTTTTCAAAATGTCATACAGTTTAAATTAATTTTTTCACATACAGGATCTTATTTAATCCTTTCAGCAACCTTGTGTAGGGGGTACATCATTAGCTCAGAACTAATTAAAGCTGAGATCATAATTAAGTTTTTAAAACCACAACATTGATAACTGACAGAGAAGGTTCTCCAAGTCCTCTGTCTCACATGAACAGCAATTTTTTGATGGTGCTATTTCATTCCTATTGTAAGGAAGACTGGAGAGTGAGATAAATAATAAATACACCTAGAAAATTTAGTTCATTTAAATAGAAATTAGTTTCTTCTTTTGTAAAAACA